TAGCTACCATATTCAGACAATCCAACAAACTAATTAAAACCACTTTATTAGTATAATCATAATCAGTTTCATATCATCCCAGGATTCATGACCCAATCAGGACCAAATACTAAGCTAAGAAACCTATTTCTGGATCGAACTGGTGATCGTATATGAATTTGTACAGAAGTACATGCTAAGCAGTTATCGTGGTCAAAAGTATAATAGCGGTCACCGGCCGCTATTTGAAATCGCGGTTTTCGCGGCGGTATAGCGGTGATATAGCGTTTTTTATATTATTTAAAATTTATATATATTAGAGTATTAATCAATAAATCATACTTTAAAGTTCAACCCAATCCAGTTAATTAGTTAATCAGTAAATCATAATTCACATATCATATTTCGTTAATCATACTTCACTTATCATAATTAGTTAATCATACTTCACAGATCGGTTACCAATGCCCCAGTTAGTCATACTATAACACAATTAACAAGAGAACATATGCAATACTTACTATTTTCTCATACTTTAACACAATTATAGTTATCAAATAAAATGATTAAGCAATTTGATAGTTAATCATAATATAGTACTTCAATTTTTCAACACAATTAGCAAGACAACACATACATGGTTTCAATGGATGTCATGACAGTCACAAAATTACAATTTTATTCAATGGAATGACACAAAAGTTTTGGTTTTGGCTAAGAAAAAAAAAATTATTCAATGGAATGGCACAAAAAATGTTTTTTTATGTAAAATAGCCCAAAAATGGAATTTATTCAAATAGCGGTTATAGCGCCGCTATAGCGGTGACCATAATCGCGGTAAATAGCGGTAAATCGCGGCCCTAATAGCGCCACTGCTATTCTAAACCACTATTTTGAAATAGCGTTTCCTTACCTCCGCTAACCGCTATAGCGCCGCTATTGACTACATAGAGTACATGTCAAATCTTAACTATGAGAACCCAAAATGCAAGAAAATATATAAACAAAAAAACAAAACTAAGCTCATATAATGGAAACATAAAATCTAACAAATGAGCATAATATAAAACTGAAAGACCAATTCCAAAGGTTATAAGTATGACACAACTGCTCTTAAATATATAATTGAACAAATTGCAGAAATAATTAGGATTTCGTATAGAAGAAATCCTAATTATGGTTCTGTCCCACTAGTGACTGAGTTAATACGAGAAAACAGATATGTGATCTCACATTAATATCCATCTCAAATCGATGGAGAGTGATTTAACAAGTAACTGGCAGAACCTGACTTCTTGCCATATAAGAATCGGTATTGGAATGCTTGCTTATGATGCTCCACAATATGGCTCTCAATACGCAGTGAAGGATTAAGATTACCGGTGCAAAAAGAAGGGCTATTTCACTTTAGCCCAACCAAAATTTTAATTCAGTTTTAAAAAGTCCCTGATGTGTCGATTCGGGTAACCCATATGTCGTAACCTATATGTTACATCTTCCAAGTAGGAAAGAAGGATGATGATCTGTAGCCTCTGACGTCCCTGCAGGGCCGGCTCAACGAGTTTGGGGGCTCTAAGTGAACCAAAAATTTGGGGCCTTTTGACATTATTCATTTCTTTTGTTAAGAAAATAAAAATTATTTTCGGCACTGCTACAGAATCAAAAATAAATTACTGCATAATTCGCATATCATTTTGGTGCATGTCGTCACCATGTTAATAACCTAATTAAAAAGCTTAACATATATCCACAACATGACTGCATTTCACATAGCTTATTTATGAGACCACTTATTATACTATTAACTACGAGCTTATATTAATAAGACCACCATAATCATTGAAAATGCTCTCATTGTAAATTTAGAAGTTTTAAGTTTTGAATGAAAATAAGCTTATTTTTTCCAAGAAGTTCCAGAAGTATGTGCTCTCGAGGTGCGATTTGCTTGGTCCAAGTGACTTATCAAACAAATTTAATTTCATCAAAATAACAAAATTTAACATAGATAATAGATTATCAGCTTTTCACAAATTCACAAATCACAATCATAGATAATCAGAGAAGAAGAACAAGAATGGAAGAAGAACTTACTTTTCAAAATTTAGGAATCACCAAATCAATTGAGTTCTTGAGTCTTGACATTTGATAGCCTTTCAAAAAGAAGAATCAACAATAGAGTCACCACTTTTTCCTGATTTTTGAACAATCAGAAACTCAGACGACAGAGAAAGAAAAAGAAGAATTGAAGAATAAGATCAATTAATCAGATTCAAACGACAAAGAAAGAAGAAGAATTGAAGAACAATCGATGAGTTGTGAGTCGCATTCAATAGATAGCGGCTTCTTTTTTCTGCCGATCGGATGTGTGCGAATGGAAATTGGAGAATTCTAATCGACACTTCATTATTCCCTAATTGAGGTTTGGGTTAAGTGGGGCCCCTTAGAAGTGGGGGCCCTAAGCAAGAGCTTAATTTGTTACACACTAAGGCCGGCCCTGCGTCCCTGTCGCTGCCTAGTCACTGAAACTTGGATCCCTTCCCCTCGATCGGTATAAAATCCCACCGATGTGGGGATTAAGCAATCAATTCTCGAATACTTTTTTCCCCTTAAAATTCCACTACTCGACAATGGATGCTCCACCACCATCACCTGAATCAATAAATTCCACAGACTGCTTGACACTAAATGATCTTAGGTTCATTTTCTGTGGTTGCGAAGGGAAGCTGATGGAGCCCCAGGAAGAAATGCATAAAAGGAAACAAGGTTTCGGATGTGACTTCTTCATTTGCAGGACTGAGTTCAATTGTCTACAACATAAAGTGCATAGTTTCCGAAGGAAGTTCCAAGCCATGGAATTTTTCTTGGGTGTGGTGGCCATTGCTATTATGTCGATCGTTGTGGTCATGAACAAGTGATTTCAATAGGTAATGAGGTGTGGATGGGCTTAGAAGCTATAAGTGATAGATATGTTATGGATTATCTTTTTGTATAGTAAAACCCTTTTTGTTCATTATCACTGCACAAGTAAGTCGTTAGTGATGATGATAAGACATGATTGAAATCAGGTAATTTTGTAACTATTTTTTTAGATTTACATTTTACCCCCACTTCTTCGGGAAACTAATATAATGATAAGTTGATAACATTTAAATTAAGTAACGGAAATATGCGTTGATTTTTACCCTTAAACTTTAGGTTGTTGTTTTTGATGTCATTGATGTTCTTCATCTATCGATGTGTTGATTCTTACCCTTAAATCAGTGTCTCTTTGTTCCTTCGTTCCCTTTCCAAAAGATTGCTTGATAAGTAAACTGCCTTTTTTAGGCTTGGTTATTGTCTTTTTTTTTCTCTGTATTATTTGCATGCATGTATATTCTGAAGATTACTTCTTAAGTACATTGCCATTGTCTTTCAATTCAAGGGTAACATGCACCAGATGTCATGGACTCTATTTAAGACAAGGGTAACATTGATTATATGTAGTACGTGGACCACATGTTTCATAGTCCACTATCATGTACTCCTCACAACATGTTTTATATTGGTAAATATATACTCGAATTATTAACGTAAGATAGTGCACGTCCAAGTTATGCATAAATCCAAACACAACATGCATAAATCCAGAAGACAATAAGGTTTTTTAAAAGGTTAAAAAATATGCCAAGTAGAATAGCCATTACAACAAATATGTGGACTTCAAGCAATCAAAAACAAGGGTTCATGGCTATGACCAGTTATTTTATTAATTATTAGTAATTGGTGTCTTCAAAGTAAAATATCCTTCATCCACAAAACAACAACATGACAGTATGCTACAAATCATGCACTAGTTAAACATTTGAAAACAGAGGACATCAAAGAACATACAAGGGATATATAATCGATAGTTGCGTAACTTGAAGCAAAAGGTGAGCAACAACCAAACAAAAAATTGCTAAATCCAAATCCACCGGTGGCGGTTCTCAAAATATGAAATCATAAAACGAAGTATAAGAGTGCCAACAAGTCATAATTCATGTACGCGATCAACATTCAAACATTGATGAGGGAAGTACCACTGATTTGTAATAAAGAGCCTGCCTTTTTCACTATTATCGGTAACATCATATCTCATGTATCGTGACTGAGTGTCAACCCACGACTCTTGTTTAACAGCAGCACTAGGCTCCAAGTCACTTATAAAAAACTCGTATTCCTCACTTGTGTCTTCAAATGGCACCCATTTCATTTCACCAAAATCCAGTTCATGGACCTTGTACCAAGAATATTTGGAACGGGTTTCCATAACATAAAGGTTTTCACCCGAACTTACAAACTTCGGGTGATAGGATTCCAGCAATAGAAAGTTATGGGCTTTTAGTAATGTCAGTTTGGGCTCTGGATCGAGTCTCATTTCAAATAAATCTCTTACTTCCCACCTAATACTACCGGAGTGGGCGTAGGGTAAGGCATATATCTTCCCCTTGAAAGCATGTATATCACGAATGCGGAGAGTGGATGGCACATCATTCCAGTCTCCTTTACCCTCTATAGAAAACCATATTTGATAGGTGAATCTCTTTAAGATAAGAAACACATATCTAGATATTGAAGATGAAAAGACAAGGATAGCACTGAAACTTAATCCATAGCAATTGAGGTAGGAGGGAAAATTAGGGAAATGAAGTTCATGACTTGTGATAGGATTCACAAGCCAGAAGTCCTTGGTGTCCCTTCCATAGAAGATCAAATAACCACAAGTTAATCCAAAATAGGTCCTGCCTTCAGAATGGGGAATTATGGTTTTGAATTTTCTTTCTTCAAAGTCCTCTAAGAAACACTCTTTCTCATTAGCACGAGTAGAGATGCGCATTAACATGGGTGGTTTGGATGCTATAAACATGTTCTTGTTAGAGAGTGAGAGTGACCTCCATGACTTGCAAACTCCACAGAATGCAAGAAAATCAATAACTCCCAGTTTCATCATAACTAAAAAAAGCACATCATGGTTAAGGTTTGACCAAGGTGCCTCACCACTCTTCATGATCCTCTTATTGTTAGATGATGCATCATCATGATTCTGGCTTCGAGTCATACCACTTGTCTTATCTTTTCCTGCAACTGCAAAATAAAAAATAATCAAGAGTTGTAAACAGGGATGAGCATACACATTTATACAAATGCTGCCCTGGCTTCTTAAAAAATGGAATTAAAAAAAATTGCAAGAGAGAGGAAACAATCACAAGAACAAACAGGATTCTTGACAAGGTTATGACTACTGCACTTGCTCTCATTATCCTAATGCTTTTGCCCAATAACAAAGCTTCTTGTAATCAAAACCAAATTCAAACAATCCAACAAATTAATTAGAATCACTTTGTTCGTATAATAGCAATCAGTTTCTTATCATCACATGAGTTATGACCTAATTACCCAAATAAAAAAATAGAACTGTAGTATTAAAAAGAAGGTCCAGTCAAAATACTAAGCTAAGATATTTTATGATTGCATTGGTAATCATATATAGATTTGTACACAAGTACATGTCAAATTTTAACTATTAAAATCCAAAATAAAAGAAAATATCAAAAGAAAAACTATGCTGATATAATGGAAACATAAAATCTAACTAATCCGCATCATATAAAACTGAAATGGACCAATCCCTTAAAATCAAAGTCTTGTTGATACTTAAAATCGAATAACATGAAATTCATTGAAATTAATCGATTTTCAGAGTTGGAGTATATTAGATAATATAACATGCATATGATTAGGAACAATGTGCATAAAAAAAGTTAGGATTTGGTATTGATGAAATTGAAAGTCACCGGTCACGAGTTATTACGAGAAAACGGATATGTGATCAAACATTAACATCCAAATTCTCTCATATGCACAAAATCGAGGAGTATTTGAGAAATAATTTACCTGATCGAGTGAGAAAGTTGTGCCGATGTATTCAGCTCTCCGTCAAACATCAACAGGGCGTTTAAGTTGATTTCAAAGGCTATTTGTGAAAATTAAAACGGCCCGTAAATATAACATTTTTATATATAAATAAATTTGGTTAATATTTAGGGAAAATTTATATGCTTACAAACTTTAAATATTACTTCTATATCTTTATAAATTCTAAAAGAACATATATATCCACACCTATATTTTAATATCGATAAAACCAATTTAAATTGAACAACTTATCCAAAATTCAAAAATACGATATGATATTACTAAATTACCCTCCCAAATTAAAAACTAAGACAAAACCAATTAAATATTAAAAATTTATGGAATTACACTTTCCATCGATCCTTCTCGGTTGAGAAGAAAAGGTTATTACGTGTTTCATGAGTTGAACTCATGAATTCCTTAGGAGTTAGGTCCTTGGAAGTTGGCACTTTCTAGATGTTTGCTACTCCACCCAATGATCTGTTGTCTGTAAATTGTAATGTTGATGATAATCCAAATCCACAATATCGTTTTCTTGTTTCAAATACTATAGTTGCGTTGAGCTTCAATATATTTCTCCTCTCAAATTGGTGATAAAAAAGTGATCGTCGTGGGATGATTTTTTCCGATATGTAATCAATTTTATTAAAGAACAATTGTTGGCAAAAGCAACATCAATTGAGTGAAGTAGAAAAGATACACATGAAACTTTTCCTAATTAAATTGGGTTAATCCAAAGACAAGTTTAGTAATATCATATATTATTTTGAATTTTAGATAAGTTTTTTAATATTAAATTATTTATCCTAATTAATATATAAGTTTGGATATAGATGTGAATTTCATAGCCTTAGGAGGAGGTATAGGTAGTTTTAAAATTTCTAAGGATATAGAAGTAATATTTAAAGTTTATAAGGATATGAATGAAAATTTTCCTAATATGTAGATGAGTTATAAAAACAATTCTAACAAAAAAATATAGTAATATTTTAATAAATCAAAATTATTTTTGATACATGAAATTACTTAAATTCCAAATTCTACATGTCATTATGTTGTATTTTATTTTTTTATTAATTAATTAACAATTCTATTAATTAATACGTCTATTATCTACATAAAGTAGTAAATCTATTGAATATGTAATTCAACCCTTTGAGATTCATTTCTTTCCTACTCTTTCTAATGTCCTATACTTAATCCAGAATCATTCATATTACCTTTTTTTTATTATGGCATTTCAATAGCAAAATCATTCTTTCAAAAATAAATCAAGGCCAATTTCTTACATAGATTTCGATTTATGGTATTAATCACGTGGTCTTTGTTTATGGTTCAATCATATATATCGCATACACAAATCCTCATGTATAGTAATTTTTTTCCAAAAAAATGCTTAATGTTTAATGTTTAATGTTTAATGTTCGGACGACTTTCGTGTTAATGCCCAATTCGGATTCTTAATTCTCACGTTGTGGCATAACCATTTCTACGGCATGGCGACATCAGAAAGCTTCGTGGACGTGAAGAATCCAAATCCCACGACATAGCAAGTTTATTTCCACGCTGTGGCGGTGCTGTAACTCATAAATAGAGTCGAAAATTAGCCCTAATAACATATCATCAACCCTAATTCACTTCCTTACGAAAATAAACGTCAAATAAGTTGTTTTTTAAGTGTCTAGAAGGCGGCCGGAAGGCCGTTAAGCTGGTATGGAGCGTAGATCTGAAGGATTCGAGAGCTGATTCACATTCAGTTTGTTGTTCTGACCATGATTAGTAATCCAATTGTTTCTATTTGTGTTTTTACTTTCTGAAATGTTAAAACCTGTTACTTTCCTTTGGAGTAGATGAAACTCGATTTTATTTGTTGAATTTAATATTTTGGATTTTATTAGTTTGGTTATTAATTGTGTTTGATTGATCATCACCTATCATGTTAAAGTACGATTTTTATTGCTTATTGCTGAGTTATGTGTAGTTAAGAGGACCAATCTAATTACATTAACTTGAATCTTAATTATTTTATGATCATTAAACTGTTAGGACTAGAGATTGTTTAAGTCTTAAGGTTAGATAATGTTAACATGTGACTTTGGATATATTAGAGAGCTTAGATATCCTTGTTAAGCTTCGATTGATTGTCATTACCATCGATGAGAAATCACTAGATCATATCATTCATAATCCAAATATATTAAATTAATTATGTGCTAACTAATTACATGATCATTGTGTTACTTGTTCATTAATTATTAGTACTAGGAAATCCGATCAAGATAACTAGTCACATTAGAATTCGGTAACCAACTAATAGATCCATTGCACTATTAACGAAATTAACCATGATTTTGAGATGTAATCTAATTTGAACCAAAGTACTTGAAGTGATTTGTTTCCAGTTAGTTTAATTATTTATTTACTTGAGCTTTCATAATTAAAACTCACTTTTTATTGCTTTCATTTATTTAACGTAACCTATAATCAAATATTCAAAATTTAATTTATTACCGCTCTCATTGAGTTCAACACCCTTGCTTATCAAAACTATACTATACCCAATTAGGTTCACTGCCTGTAAGGTGTAGTTTACATTCGATAGACTAGGGGTGCGTTTGGTATAGAGAAATGGAATTGATGCAGAGAATGGAAATGCAGAGAAATAGAATTAAGCTGGAGAAAGAAAATTGACTATCCTGTTTGGTAGAACTGAGAATCCACTAGAGAAATGCTTTTGAGAATCATTTCTCTTGTTTAGTTGTATTAATCAATGAAATGGAAATGAGTTTTTTTACCTTGTTTATTCATTTTCAAACAACATTTTTTTATAAAAATGCATTATGATGTACATCTTAATTAGTCAAAATATGCATCTTTTATGTTATTAATTTTTTTTAATATTAATTGTTACTAAATAATTTATTTTCTAATCAATTAATATTATTTTTATACATCTTGTATTGGAAAACATATTTCTAATATAAAAGAATAACCTACAAATAGATTTTTAAAGAAATATGCAAATCATACTATTCAAAAACTATGTCCAATGTAGGATATATGCAAAAAGTATAATTCAATATTCCTAACAACTAAAAAAACATAACTATGTCTAATACAGAATGTGCATTAAGTCAACTTCAATATTCGTAAAAACTAAAAAAAACATAACTTAAAATAACCTAATCATTGAGCCATCCCCAATCATTTCCATGTAACAAATCTTTTCTTCTTCTGTCATCTTAAAAAACGCCCGGGCACAAAATTGATATTTGCTAAACATGTCAATCGCCTTAATTCCCTGTTTGACATTGATATTTGGCATGTGTTGTATATCTTCGATAACTTTATCTATCATATCACATGCTTCCTTATTTTCTTGCCTTCCTATATTGTATATTGTTTCATTAAGTTTTTCACCAACCTCCTTGAAAGTCTTTTTCATTTCTTTCGATGCTTCCTTATAAGAGCTTTCTGTGTCATCCATTGGACGCCTTTTGTGTTTACTATTGACACGAGCAATTTGTTGCGTCTCTTCAACAATCTCTTCCAACCCTTCCAAATCAACAGGTTAGTTTCTTTGTGTATCTTCAGTCACATCTTCACCAAGATTAGTAGCTCCATGACCAGTAGCTCTATCCTTCCAGAAGATTTTACATAGGTTATCAAATTGGACAAATGGCTTATCGTGAAAACATGCAGCACCTTTATGACTCTACAAGAATGACACAAAATTAATTGGTTACTATTCATTTACAATATGTTTTAATGATGCTAAAAATACTACAAACATAATCATTATAGTACCTTTATGTACTCATCCCAAACTTGAGCATTGACAGTAACACAACATTTATCCATATCCCAGCCGAATCCACTCGTGTTTGTTCCATATACCATGTCGTGCACGATGTTGAAATGGTTTTTCCATGTCTTCATCCTCGATTTAATATGAGGCTCTGCTTTCAAACCCGAGTTAGGAAGACTTACATCTAGTAATTGTTGCATTGTCTTCAAATAATCGGGTTTGAATCCATTGTCAGCACCACCATACTTTCCGGATACATGTAACTCCAACAATGCTTCAATTAACGTTGCATCCTCTTCAGTAGTTGTGTGTTTGTTTCACCCTGCTATGTCTACAAAAAAAATTTACATAATAGATGCTTGAAATAGTAATTCAACTTAACCAATTAAGTTTGCGGCTTGAAATAGTAATTCAACTTAATTGGTTAAGTTTGGGGCTCTCCAACTCAACCAAAACTTAACCAATTAAATTGTTTTTGGATTCTAAAACGTATACAAGACTGAGGAGTACAGTTTGAAAAAAAATCACATCATTACGAGCTTGTATGAAGCTTTTATGATGGTTCAAAGTTGGACAAAATTTCTAAGAAGTGCTGAAATATCATACAACAATCATAACAGCCCCTGTTTGTGGTTGTATAACTCAACCAAAACTTAACCAATTAAGCTATTTTTTGATTCTAAAACGTAGACAAGACATAGGAGTACAGTTTGAAAAAAAATCGCATAATTCCGAGCTTGTATGAAGCTTTTATGATGGTTCAAAGTTGGACAAAATTTCTAAAAAGTGCTGAAATATCATACAACAATCATAACAGCCCCTGTTTGTGGCTGTATAACTCAACCAAAACCTAACCAATTAAGCTGTTTTTTTATTCTAAAACGTAGACAAGACAGAGGAGTGTAGTTTGAAAAAAAATCGCATCATTCCGAGCTTGTAGGAAGCTTTTATGATGGTTCATAGTTGGACAAAATTTCAAAAAAGTGCTGAATAGTAAAAAAAAATCATAACAGTCCCTGTTTAGGGCTGTATAACTCAGCCAAAACTTAACCAATTCAGCTATGTTATCCTAACGTGTAGACAAGACAGGCCAACCATCTCGGAAAAAAAAACGCCCCATTCCGAGATCGTTTGCATATTTTTTGGTGGTTCAAAGTTGGACAAAATTTCTAATTTATTTATGTGAAACATATTGAGAATACAATTTGCACAACAAAACTGTCACAAACTTTTCTTATAACTTGGTCCCCTGATTACCATTCCAATTGCAAGATTAATATATTGAAAATATAATTCATGAATTTCAATTCAAAAGCATAATTGAAAAACAAAATGACTTCGTTTGAATTTCAATTCAAAAGATTAATATATTAAAAAACTATGAGTCATTGAAAAATAAAGACAAAAGTTGTCACACCCCGAAACCGCGATGGCGGAAACGTTCCGGGGTGGAGGACGTCATGCGTAGTATCACAACATTTGTATAGCAAGCATAATAAACACAACCAAACATTGAATACAAATATGAAAAATGTTTACATCAGTTTGAAACTTGTTTTAAATACATCAAAAGTATGTATAATATAGAAAACATGACTCTTATTGCTCCAGCTTCACCGAAGTCCTGGAAGTTCCTGTCTACTAATTCCCTGAGAATACAAGCAGTTTGAAAAATATCAGCATAAAGCTGGTGAGTTCATAAGCATTTAGTTTTTAGAGAAAAATGTTCTTTGATTCTTTTGAAAAGTGTTCCTCAAGAAAATCCTATATTTTCTTATGAAAGGTAGTGTTAAAACTTAACAAAATACTTAGCGTTTGGCTTGTATTCCCCCCCCCCCCCCCCTGAAAACATTAAAAACACGGAAAGTGTAGGGGTATGAACTCACTGTTTGACGGATGATTCGAGCGGATGATCGGTTACGAGTGTTGAGTGTCAATTGAGGTTTCGCACTCAAGTGGATCCTAGTAACATATAATAGCACATATATGTATTAGATTTAGGTATTCCATGACAAAACATGACGGGAAACCACCCTAAGGACTTGGAAATGCTTGTCGGGACCATATGTGATCAAACAAAGGAGGTGTATGGTCATTAGGGTGTGTGTGCGGCCAGGGTGTGCGGCCAGGCTGTGTGTGCGGTTGCACACAGGAGTGTGCAGCCGTACAGAGGGTGTGTGCGGCCGTACACAGGAGTGTGCTGCCGTACACTCCTCATTTGTGCCCGAAATGTCGATTTTTAGATGTTCTAGTGCTAATGCCAAGTCCTACTAGTGAATGAAGGCCAAACTCTTCACTTTGGAGAGCTTTAAGGTGTGTACGGCCACGTTATGAAGGTGTGCGGCCGTACACCTTCATGTGATGAAGAACATGATGAACTTTGATGGTTAAGGGCTT